AGATTAAAGTCAGAATTCTGAGATTAAAGTCCGAATTCTGACTTTTTTCTCGGAATTCTGACTTTAATCTCAGAATTCTGACTTTAATCCCAGAATTCTCCGTTTTTTCTCAGAATTCTGAGATTAAAGTCCGAATTCTGACTTTTTTCTCGGAATTCTGACTTTAATCCCAGAATTCTGGCTTTTTTCTCATGTTAAACTGAAATAAAATTTAAAAATCAGTTAACTTTTTTTTTTTTTTCAGTGGCCCTCATCGTCTTCCGTACAAAGTTAACGTTTATATTTTGTTTATTATTTTGGTGGCACAGGTGTTCAGATCTTCCCACAGCTAGGGAGATTGCTTAGGGGGGGGGGGGTCCCTTGTTATTTTAGAAGAAAGGAGTGCACCCAACAGGGTGTTGGGTGAGGAGGTTTCTGTCAAACTTTTCTGTTGACCATCATCATCGTCACTGTTCTCATTGTCATTTGAAACTTTTTGAAATATAAATAAGAAAGAAAATGCAAGTGCGGCTCAGGATGGCTTCTTGGAGAAACTTCTCAGCCAGCAGCGGCTCTGTTGGTGGATCGAAGTCGCTACATTACCTACTGTACATTAAGTGGAAAAAAAGGTAAAAAGTTCATTGAAAAGTTCAATAATTAATAAGCCTAGTTTACAATTATATTTAGGTTTATAAACTAAAAAATGTAAGTGCCAGTATCTGCATTAATGCCTCTAAGGTTAAGTTGGACCAAATAAAAATGTGTTTCTTTCACTTTCAGAGTGTTTTTTTTAATGAATTTCTTCCAGAAGCACTTTTGTTATTTTTCTTAATATATTCGGGCAAGTTGGTGTTTCTTCTTATTACATTGGCATTAATTTTTGCCATCAAAATATCCATATTTTCGAATGTTACAAAGGTAATAAGCTCTTGAACTGGATTCCAATAACACTATTGGCTGGAAATTTAGATTTATAAAAGGTTAATGGTTTCCTGGGTAAGGAAACACAGAGCATCACTAAATATACCGACACAGAGAGCGATGATGCGTGCTAAGGTAATTAGCTTATATTTCCATCAGACCAAACAAAGGGAGGGGTTTTAATCTGCCTCAGGTGTTTTGCAGCTGAAGCAGTGAGTACCTGTGGTGCCGGACGTGTAGATGTAGAGAGCCGTACTCCGGATGTGAATGTTGGCCCTCAGCTCAGGGGACAGCGGCTCGTCTGAGGCTTCAGATATCTTGTCAGATAAAGCGGTGATGCCTTCAATGCTGCAGCTGTCAGACAGGAGGAACACGCGGATTCCCTGCTCTCTGAGCGTCGGCAGCACCTCCTTCACAGCATCCAGCATCTCTGCGCACAAAGAAAGGATTCAGACGGTGTCAGAGAGCGGCGTTACGTAATGCTGCACATGCAGGCCTGGGTCGTGTTACCAGAGTCCACCTGAGGAACACAACAACGTGGTTCTGGAAGTTTATCCAACGCTGCTTTCAACTTTTCTTTATTAAACCCTCTCATCCCTACCCAGACTAAAGTAATCACAACCTCTGAAAATTAGACATTTATTTCACGATCACTGGAAAAATGATCTAAAAATAAGTAAAAATTTCTTAAATTGAGTGTATTTACCCTTAATTTGAGTAGATAAATGAGGTGGTTTGCAAATGGAGTTAATATTTTTACTCTTAAAATAAGATAATTAGATAAAATGCACTTGAAATGAGGCAATGCAAGTGTGTTTTCTTATTTTAAACGTAAATTGTCTTGTTCCATTGGCAAAATGTCACTTTTACCTCCTCAATCCAAGAACAAATGCACCCATTTTAAGAAAAAAAGACTTATCTAGATTTTGATTTTTTTCCAGTGATTGAAAAACTGACCTTAAAGGAATAGGCTTGTTTGAAAAAAAGATGCACAATAAAAACAAAAACAAATGTATACGTCTTCAAGTCATCAGAAAGATGTTGGGAAGAAAAAAAAACATACCAGAGGAATGAATAATTTTGGCTTTAACTGCTGATTTCAGTCTAAAAAAACGTGT